AAGCAGACAGAGGGGGAGGGGGACAGGGGAGGGGGGAGGGAGAGAGGCTGCTGCTCCGTGGCTTACTCTTTTTTTTCTCTTTTTATTCAGTCTGGGACCCCAGACTGTGGAACATGGCTTCCCCTATACGGATCTTGCTACTGATGGTTCCCTTCGCCCAAAGGTATGAGTTATTCATGCCCTCAGCATTTATTAATCCACTCAACTAGATCAAACTAACCACCACAGAGACGTAGGCAAAATCTCCGGGAAATGGAACTTACTTTTATCTCAAGTACTTTTCAACCCCAAGCCCTGTGGTGATGAACTGTGTGGGTCTGAAAGAGGGGAGGGCAGGTGAGAGCAAAGCATAGGGAAATAAGGCTTCAGAGACCACAGCTTAACTCGAAGTGCGTTATGGGGGCTCTGTCACGATCTCACAAAGTCAAAATTTTGGCTTTCATAGTCATAAAATGTAGAGATAAAAATTAAACATATTGAAATACAAAAATACTTTGTAGTTTAGTTACCTGGTCATCATAGTCTGATCCTGTATCCACGATCTCTCCAGCATCAAACATCGAAGGGTCAAGGTCACTTGAATCTAGGTTTAAGAAAGACAGGTTTAGCTGGTGGCGACTGTCCGTGTGTGTTTCCAAAGCAAGACATTTCCCATTAGGTTGCCACACTGTCCTGGTGTCCCATTAACACGTGCCACACTCTGTGTCTGGGCTGGTGGTAGAGGACACAGACACTCTGGACCCTGTCCCAGCCTCCAGAAGAACAAGCTCTGGGGGAGACTCATTTGTCAACATCGAGACTCAGAAAGCAGCAAGTGCGAGGCACTAAATCTGGTCACCAGTGAAGGTGACAGCAGAACTGAGATTCTTCACCAGGTACTGATCCAGAAGCTGAATGTTGGAAAGGGAGCTTGAGTGTGCAGGAGAGATGGCTTCTGAGAACCGAGACAGGGGAGTGCCACGAACAGAGCAGAAGGAAGGACAGCAGGGCGTTTGGGAACTGAGTTCCCCATTCTAAAGTGTGACTGCCGCCCCAAGCCCTAACCTCGGCCCTAGCTCCGCTCCATTTGCTCAGGCAAATACCTTGGCAAAAGGAGATTCAGAAGGAAAGGGATTGCTGGGCATTCAGTTCCAGACTCCACCCCACAACTGAGGGGAAGCCAAGAGCTGGGCACCTAGTCATTTACACCCGTAGTCAAGAGCAGAGGGAGATTAACACCCCGTGGTCTGCTGGCCACTCTGCCAGCTTTCTCTTCCCCCACACAGTCCAGGGCCCGGCCCAGGAAATGGTGCTGCTCATATTCAGGGTGAGTGGTCCCTCCTCAATTAACAGTCAAGACAGTCCCCACAGACAAGCCCACAGGCCAGGCAGATCTGGACAGTTCCTCAGCTGGGACTCACTTCCATGGTTCTAGACCGTGTCAGGTTGACAGCTGAAACCTAACCATCATATTCCCCAAAGGCGAGTAAGCTCGGGTTGACTAAGAGGCTGCTTCTTCCACTTAGTATAGGCAGCATTGCATCGCTTGCCATTAATCCCTCAGGCCCACTTAAACCATTCATTTTCACCATGGATTGATTGCTCCTCTCACTTAATGACTCTTTCCTATGGGGGGCGGGTGCAAGCTACCTAAGAACACATCCCTTCCTGGCCAGGAAAGTGCTGCCACAGAAGAGAAGGTTTACGTATTCTGTGAAATAGCAACCACCTCACATTTCACTGTGAACTGGGCTTTGACGAGTCGTTCTTGGCCAGAATATGGAAGTTCAGTGACGTACACTTTCAAATAACAGTAAACACTTCATACACTTCTCAAGCACCGCAGAAGGATTGCTTCATTGTCCTCAAAGACAAGAGTCAAGGTGGGTTCTCAGCCAGGGTTTCCACTCTCTTCCCCCCTTCGTCCCTCCAGTTCCTCCCTCTCCTTCGTTCTTTCTTCAGATGGCTCTCACTCTTTACCTCAGGCTGCCTTTGAACTTGTGAAGAAGCCACAGCCTCAGGCTCTAATGGAATCACAGTGTGCACCACTATACGGTACTGATCTTCTCTGATCATTGCTAACCCTCCTCCCTGCCAAACTGACAAAGTACTTGCTGTTAAACAAGGCCATTGTTGTTGGTTTTAATATTCTTTTCTATTTTTCTAGGACAGAGTTTGACTGTGTATCCGGGGATGATCTCAACTTGGAGCAGGTGTTACTGTGTGATAGCAATGACAGAACTCGAAGCTTCCCTTTCTCTTTTTTTCTCATGCACCCTGCTGACAACCAACTCTAAGCAGAGTGACCCAAAGGGCTCTACCAATACTGCCTTTCAGTACAGGCGAGGACCTGGAGGGCATGGCTGTCCATTCAGCACGCTGAGACAAGGAGAGACGATAAACACGTTTGGATGAAGCACATTGCAGGGGGCTATGGAGACATCAGAGGTGGAAAAATGGAATCTAATTCAAGCCGGGACAAGCAAGTTGCCTTCCTAGGTGGCTTTTGTAGACAGCAGTGTTAAAGACAACAAAAAATGTATTCAGTTCTCCTTAGTCTCCAGTGTAGATATTGTATTCTTGAGGAGTCAAGTAGAGGAAGGTGTGTGGGTGGCTGTGTTTCCCTAATCTCTGACTGCCCTTTGCTTACTATAGAGTCCACGGGATTTGTACACAAAGTCTCAGTGAACACACAGCAACAAGGAGTCCCTTGTCCTACTTATTTTGTTGAATGGGAAACCATTCTTCCAATTGTTTTCAAGAAGTACAATCTGAAGGGCCCTTAAACAACCCACCAAGTAGGGACCACATGCTAGCATTTGAAACAATAGCAAATTCATTAGAAAATACTTTACAGTAACATCAGAATGAAAAAACTTTTGATTAAAACAAACTTCCCTCTTAGGAGGAGGAGGAGATGGATCACCCTCCCTAATCAAGGGCTTTGACAGAAATCTCATTGTGTCACTAAGGGATGGTAATTCTTGACAACTGTTGCCCGTGGCAACCAAAGTATTAATATATCTCAGATGATAGACAAAGGGTATCATTATCAGCTCAGATAGTGAGTGAGTGGCTTGCATTTAAAAAAAAAAACACTGGTTGCTCAGTTTCCTGGAAATGGGGACTTTACTAATAGCTCAAGACTCAGCAAGTGAGCTGGGGGAGACAAATACTGATGTCACATTCGGGCTATCATTCAACTAAGACCCAGGCACATAGAACACCAGACCTGGTTTTCTTCCTCAGAAATGACCACAGAATCCAGACATTTGCAAAAGGTGGTGGTACGGCCTTCATTTTCCCTTTCAATTTCTTTTCGGATTTAAAGAAATCCATTTTTAAATAAGAAAGAGAGATCTGATCTGAAATGGCTCCCCCTTGTTGTCAGTTGTTTTAATGTAAGGTTGTCTTTAAGTGGGAACCAGAGACAACAGTCTTTAAAGAGGCAGCAGAGGTGAACTGGACCACATAGGTCTCTGTGACTCTGTGACAGTGTCATAGGTATCAGCCTAAAGTTGCAGGAAGACATACCTGTCACTGGCCTGCCAAAGATACCCTCCTGCACTGGGGCTCCTTGAGCCATAGAGGACAGCACCGAATGAGACTCTCTGCCTGTCCCCTTAAGGGAAGCAATGCCTCCTGTTCCTATATCCCTGAAACCATCAGGATTATGATTGCCTACAGAATATCAAAACACAGTTTAGAAATTAAAGGCATTCTGTTCACAGGTACCACACGACTGAAGATGAACAAAGGGCTTCTGCATTTTCTCCCGACAGATGCTGCTCCCGGGTGCTCTCTGCAGGGTTCTGTCCACACTGAGCAGGAGAATCCCAGTCTTACGCCACAGGTGTGGGAGAGCTAGCCACACTTTGTGGCAGAACTCCCTTAAGGAACAGCACTGTGTTCATCTGGGACAAGGCAAGGCCCTGAGGTGGGCAGGGCTGGCTCTTCAGTGATCCCAGCGTAGGGATGAGGAGATGGCAAGAAGGAGGGAAAGGTAGGAGAGACGAATCTGGGGAAAGGGGGTGAAATGCACTGTCTAAGACATGGTCTCTGTCTGTGAGCCTTCAAGTCCTCTGCAAAGACAAATCACATGCAGCCCTTTTGCTGGGACAGAGACGCCTTTACCCACAAACTCACCGCTTCATTCCAGTGCGCCTATGACGGGGGTTCTCTTGTCTCCTCTTTCTGAACAAGGAAATACAAGCCCAGAGAGACACATTGGCAGATAGATAGGGAGAGATGGCTCTGATGGAAGCACCAATGGGCTGGCTCCACAGAGGAGGGACACGAGGGAAGGGAGTAGATGAAAAGGCAACGGAGCCCCATATGCAAACTGGGGCTCAAGGTGAAGACCCGGGGCACCCGTAAGGTGTGAGCGTGGACCAGTGACTTGGCTGACGTGGCCAGCTAGAAGAGAAAGGCTTTATATGCCATCTCCCTTGGGCACTTGCATTCGTGCACACACACACAGATACACACATCCTAACAGAGTCTTGAAGATATCACTCTTAAATAGAAACATAAAGGAGACCTGGTCCATGTAGGATGAGGCTGTGGAGTAGATTACGCTGTGGTAGCGCACGGATTGAGACAGGGAACCAGAGGGCTGAGGGAAGCTGTGGGCCACAGGTGCAGGTGATGCTTCACTGGACATGGGACAGCTAGGGATTCTGGGTGTTTGAATATAAGAAGGACATTGGTACCCAGCCTGCAGAAAGCTAGAGGTTTTATTTTGTTATGAGGGAGGAAGTATGGTTAGAGCCGTATTCCCTGAGGATTCAATTGAAGGAGGGTTACTGACAGCCAGGAGCGCCCCCAAATGGGAGCTGATGAAGCCACCAATACTGTGGAAGCAGAGAACTGGATTTCCATGAAAAAAAAAAGGCTAACTGGTGCAGATATGAAAGCAAGAACCTTGTTAGCTAACTTTCTGGAATGGAGGTAAAGTGGATTTACACTTGTTCTTGGCTGTGGCTTTCTTCTGGACCATTAGAGCCACAGCCAAGACTTTCCTCCTGCTCCTCCTCCTGCTCCTCCTCCTCCTGCCCCTCCTCCTCCTCCTCCTGCTCCTCCTCCTCCTGCTCCTCCTCCTCCTCCTGCTTCTCCTCCTCCTGCTCCTCCTCCTCCTGCTCCTCCTCCTCCTCCTGCTCCTCCTCCTCCTGCTCCTCCTCCTCCTCCTGCTCTTCCTCCTCCAGCTCCTCCTCCTCCTGCTCCTCCTCCTCCTGCTCCTCCTCCTCCTGCTC